GAGGCAAGCCAAGGAGACTCTAGGCCATCAGATTCCCTTCAGAAGGATGTGCCCAGCTGGGACATTCGACCTGCCTGAGGTGTGTCTATCATGCAGGAAAACAGCCTGGCTTCAACTCTACCTTTGAAATTAAAGTTTCCAGAGCTTTACAATGAAATTTATGTCAAATTAATTTCTGGGACTCAATGAAGCTTAAAATGAATTCATAATGAGGTGCATTTAAGAGGCACATGGAGGGGTTTGGAGGGGCTGAGCAAAGAGGTCCCCTTCCTGCCATTAACTCTAATTTTGTGATTATGACACATTTTATCCTAGCACAACACATAATCTAAGAAATGATATGCTTTTACAATTACTGTATATGCAGAATGTGTGACCAAATGGAAGTTGAATATTGCTACATTATTATTAGCATTATTATTATTAGTTAATTGAGTATCAACAATGTGCACAATCTTATCAGAGGTATAATGAAGAAATAGTTCCTGTTGGAGATTTATACTTTAATTTGGACATAATTTCATCATAACACACACAACCTCCGAGTGCACGACAGTACCAGCTGCAGCTTCTAAAGAGAACCACCCTCTTAGGGCTGCAGCGGATGGGGAGGACGTAACACTCTCGTGAATCTTTTCACTCTGCAGTTGCAAACATTACAACTTCTAAAGTTGATCTTAAATCACGTGGCTCCTCCGCAGGATCAGAAGTAGGGTTGGGGAGCTTTCTGAACATGATGGAATTTCTGCTCCACACACACCTGCTCATGACCCTCATTCAGGACTGTCAGGTAGGGAAAGGGCCCATCAAAGAACACAGTGTTTAACGACATTCAATGAACAGGTTCCTAGAGAAGTAAGTGAGGTTTACATTCTGTCTTAAAGACCAACACACATTCAACACGAAGCCACCAACAGCACTTGGACCTCAGCATGTTCTCCCACTTCACCAACCCTTTGGGGAAACCCAAGGAAGACAATTTCAAACTTCTGAGGACAGAGAGAGCAGGAACCACTCGGATCTCAGTCACTGTATAGAGCAAGGTGTCCCTAAGCAGTGGCTCAGTCAGCACCTGCAGGGGTAAGGGGAGTGTCACCAGAACTGAGCCACACACAGCAAGCTTTTGTTGTGCAGCTACTTCAGAGACACGGATAAAGCACACACCCAACAGGAAACCCAATATCCTCCTGTGCGGAAGGAGATACTCTGGCCCACAGCTCTGGCAGGTGCTGTCGAAGGCAGGGGTACTCTGTTAATCACATAGATGGTGCTCTTTGTGTGGATGTAGGAAGTATAGATTCAATGTAATCATATAAATAATAAAGGTGATTGGATGGCTCTCAGTCATAGATAATTCACAAGACTGAATCTGGAGACTGGTCAGTATCATCTTTTGAGTGCTAGAGAGGCCCAGGCAGCCCGCCCGCCCAGTCCCGGCCCACTCACGTTCCTTCCTCTCAGGACCAGGTGTTCTTTTCCTTCGGACGATCTCCCGCTTCACGCACAACCTTGAACCCTCCTGGAACACAACGTGATATAAATACTTGTACAGGGAGCTAACCAAATGTGCCAATTCTGCTACTTCATCTTCACCACACATGCTGAATTGCTGAATGTTTGGTCAACCGCAGAGCCAGATCTTTGTTTCATCCTTCAAAATATGCAAAGTCTACGTTAACAAATACGTAGTCAGTTGTCTATAATATAAACTCGCTTCCACTCACCTCATTATTTGGGTCATTCATAAAACTTCCATTGTTTGTGAAAACAGCTAGTCCATGGGTTAGAGATTCTCCTATCTGGGAACTCCTGATTATGAACAGGCATTGCCAAGAAACATAGCCAAGCATAATTTAAAAGAGGTACTAAGTTTTGGAAAATGATGGGTCCCTTCCATTCTCACAAATTAAAACATCATTATTTCTAGGAACCAGAACTTAATGCTGGAAAACAAGCACAGCTCAGTGGAATATAACACCCACAAAATCAGCAAATCAGACATAAAATATTTACAGCCTCTAGTTGCCAAGGGTGCAGCACCTGGAGAGCTCTGCCTGCCTGCTGAGCCCAGGGCCCCGGCACTGCCCCAGGCCTGCTGGTACTGCCCCAGGCCTGCTGGCCCTGCCCCAGGCCTGCTGGTACTGCCCCAGGCCTACTGGTACTGCCCCAGGCCTGCTGGTACTGCCCCAGGCCTGCTGGTACTGCCCCAGGCCTGCTAGTACTGCCCCACACCTGCTGACCCTGCCCCAGGCCTGCTAGTACTGCCCCAGGCCTGCTGGTATTGCCCCAGGCCTGCTAGTACTGCCTCAGGCCTGTTGGCCCTGCCTCAGGTCTGTTGGTACTGCCCCAGGCCTGCTAGTACTGCTCCAGGCCTGCTGGTCCTGCCTCAGGCCTGCTGGTACTGCCCCAGGCCTGCTAGTACTGCCTCAGGCCTGCTGGCCCTCCCCCAGGCCTGCTAGTACTGCCCCAGGCCTGCTGGCCCTGCCTCAGGCCTGCTGGTACTGCCCCAGGCCTGCTGGCCCTGTCTCAGGCCTGCTGGTACTGCCCCAGGCCTGCTGGTACTGCCGCAGGTCTTGTGGCCCTGCCCCAGCTACTAGTACTGCCCCAGGCCCCCTGATACTTCAGGAGCTATCCCAAGCCTCCCAGGGCCCTGCTGTGGCTGGGAACTGAACATAGGTCAGCCTCCTTCTTGATGGCTATTTGTAGTGGCAATGATGGATATTTGATCAGAACTTATTTAAAAGTCAATACAACTATGTTTCCAGAGCAACCCCAGAATTTTAAACGATAACCAAAAAACAAAGAATATGCTGGCCATAAAAAGTGTCTTCCTGTGCATCCAGTGGTGTCCATCACGGGTGTCTGGGGTCTTCACCAGTGATGGACAGCCACGCTGCCCTCTTTGAATCCCTCCTACCCACACACTTGCCGGGAGCTCAGGGGTTGGGGATGCTCTCCTGTGCCATGGGGACCTTAGACACTGTCTGCCACCCTGCCTCCTGTGACAGTGGAATGTCACTGAAATGTTTGTACAAGATATTTCCCTGAGCACTGGACCGTGGGAAGCCGTGGTGGAGAACTCGACCCCAGCTTGAAGAGAGGAGAGAGGACAAGAAGGCCACCTCTCCTGGGCGGTTCTGACACGCCTTGCCCTTCCTCTCCCTCCCTGCAGGGCACACAGTGGGGACCTTGCCGGCCAGGCTCCCCCGTGTGGGTCTCTGGAGGCCCAGGTGGCCACAGACAAGATGCTGCCTGAGCACCAGGTCCTCTCTGCCTGCCCCCTGGGGTCGTTCCTGGCTCTTTCCATCTTCCCTGTGGCTGTCCCCTCCAAGGACCCTGGCTCCTCAGGACACAGCTGACTGGACAGGGCCGATTTCCTGCTTGCCTGCAGCTGGGGACAGGGAAGGTGCATGAAAGTGCCCCTTGAGCAAAGGGGTCTGGGGCCTGGACTCTCAGCCCCGCCACAGGGCGAGAGGATCCCCCAAGAGCTGCAACCCAGCAGACTGCACCAGTAGCCAGGGCCTGGCAAGCCCCAGGCAGGAGCCACCACCCCTGGCGGCCTGCCCCCACCCCCCGCCACCTGAGGCTGTGCGTCTGGCTTCAGGAAGCGCTCTGCTTGGGCCTTGCTGTTGCATTGGCCTGGCTGGGGACAGGGTGCTGGGGCCCCTTGGCTGCTACAGTGGAGGGTCCAGGTTTCGCCCTAGACCCTCCTGGCTCTGCCCTGCCCCCAAGCACTTCCTGTGGAGTTAGGCTGCAGACCCAAGGGCTGGGGCCACCAAAGGCCAGCTCACAGATGTTTAGATGGCCGCTGAGTCGTGTCTGGCAGGCAATGCTGCCTGGACCAGGGTTGGGAGCTCCTGTCCCTCTGTGCCTGAGGGGTCCTGCCCAGATGCGCTGACAATGCTCACTCCTGCCTCACAGCATCCGGGGAAGAGGCCATCTAGTGCATGAAGCACCCCAGGGTGCTCCCTGGGAAGGACTCGGGAGGGTCACCTAGGCACTTGCGGGCATCTGCCGTGCAGCCGGCCCTCCCTCCCCCTGGCCCCGCCGTGGGCCTAGCGGGATGGAGCCTGTGGCTTGCTTCCCTCTCCCGCCCTTGTCCGCCCTGCTCAGCGCTGTGGCCTTGGTTCAGCTCTGACCTCCAGACCCTGAGACGCTTTCCCGGTGGGCTCCCATGGCTGCCCTGCACCCTCATACATCTTCCCACTCTTGGCCAGACCCACGGACCTGGCGTTGGAGACATTTGGAGGCACCCCTTCCCCAGGGTGCTGGCCTGACAAGGCCATGCGCAGCCCCCAGCTCAGTGGCCCTAGCACCCCGAGGCAGAAAGCCCACCCACCTGTCCAGCACACAGTCCCTGTGCAGACCCAGGCGCTGCTACAGAGCTACTCCCCCAGGCAGAGCCTGGGACACCTGCCTTGCATCTGGGACTCTTCTGAGCAGGGTACGCCTGCCTCTGTGGCCCCAGGACCCAGAGGGACACCCGAGAGACACAGGCAGACAGCCTGGAACTGACTCCTGGGTGCCCAAGAACATCCCCAAACCACACACAAACACTCACCATCATGACACTGGACACATTGTTAGGTCAACATCTGCTTCCTTCATCTTAAGTTCAAATAGCTGTGGAGACATGACCTCCATGTGTTGGTTTGCACATTGATCTTTCCATTTAAACTCCTACATACCTCTAGTGTGTCATATGGACTCTAAATACCACAGCAACTTGACGTGTACTACAGTGAGGTTTCATATCGTGTCTTTTTCCCATGAACTTATATTTCTGTCTCTGCCCCACAGGAATTCACCCCAAGGTCATGTGAATGTTACACTGAAGTTTTTATCCATTATTTTATCATAGTTCTCTGTAATAAAAACATGATATACTCATCACCTTAGGTACACATATGAGGACACTGAATTGGTGTGTCTATTTTGTGTAGAAGCAGAGAAATGAAAAATCATGCTTCATTTGTGTGCTATGGATGGAAATGAGTAACCAATTAGAACAAATAAATAAATTATTTTTAAAATAACATTTATGAATGAGATGGACAGTTTTCTGCCCTTAGTTATATATTTGTGTATAACCCTTACTCATTGCTAGAATGTGTTAGTTCCCAAATCTCAAGTCTCATCCTGTTTTCTGTTTTTATTAATGTAAATACAGAGAAACTTAACATAAGTGAGCAGACATGGAGGAACCTTGTTGTATTGACGGCATTCGATAATTCACACTCCTGAGTTGTGTGCCCGTAATCTCAGGGTAAGCTATCACCAAACGCCGCTATCATAAGCGTGAGCGCCTGTTAACCATAAGAGTTGGAGGGTCTCACCTGACCCTCCTGTGCCTAATGAGGTCAGGCCCACCAGGGCCCTCCCCTACCTCCTGCCCACTCCTTCCATTGTGACAGCTGCTCTTCTACTTTCAGGTCATCTTCTCTTCTGGTTGGTTTCCAGATACGAGAGAAAACGTGATACTTGCCTTTCTGTGTCCTGCTTATTTCTCTTCCCATGACGTCCAGTTCCGCCCATTTCCCTGAAAACGGCAGGACCTGGTTCCTCTTGGTGACTGAGCAAAGCCCCCTGGGGCCCAGAGGCCTGTTCTCCTGTCCTAGGTCAGAACGCCCAGGCCAGAGTCCCAGTGGTGTGTCCCCTGCCACCTCAGCCCTAAATGGAAAAAACAGGCAGGCGGGAGGCCCTGAAGACCCTCCCCTGTCACGAAGGAAAGGCTGAAGGTGCAGTTCCACCAAGACACCCCTTCCTGCCCTCCCTTCCTCCTCCGTTCTTTACTCCAAAACAATCCATCCCGGGACCGTGCGTCTGCAGAGCCTGGGGCTCAATGACAGCCCACAGCTCCGTCCTCCAGCTTCCACACCCAGTGACAGAGACGAGTGCAGACCCTGCCACAGTGGTCAGGATGGGTGATGACCGTGGCCGGCAGCACCCCAGCCCTGCAGAGGGAGGCCCCACACTTCCTGGAAGGGGCGCTCTGGGGGGAGCTGTGGAGGACCCAGTGGGGAGGCTGGAGATGGGAGCGGAGTGCCGTGGCCCACAGGCAAGCAGCAGTACCGAGGGGTGGGTGCAAGTCCAAGGCCAAGGCAGGCAGGGGCCTAGATAGGACCGGAGGGTGGACACCAGGCCTGTGCTGGGCTAAGCGGTCTGGAGCTCACCCTGAAATCACGGAGAGCCCTGGAGGATGTGGAGAAGTGACAAGAGGACATGTCTGACCAGCTGAGGCAGGGGCAGATGAGACCACTGTGGTGGGAGCCTTTGGTCAGGAGGCAGAGGCTGAGGCCACCAAGGGAGACAGAGGTGAGGTCTGGGAGTCAGCATCAGCAGGGCATCCCCTACAAATCCTGGTGATGTCAGGAATCCAGAGTGGTCAAGAGCGACTCTGGCACTGAAGTGGGTGACCCCTTCAAGAGATTACGGGACAGGATGGCACCCTGAGGGGGGTCTACGTTTTCCCACCATCCGGCAGCAGGCAGGCGTCTGTCAAGAGGCCAATGTAGATTT